TATAAGACATGTTGGGGCATGGTACAGGACCATAAATCCAGCTTATCTTGGGAGGCTGATGGCTATGGAGTATATCGCTTGAACCCGGAGTGTGGAGGTGGCAGTGTAACCGAGACTGCACCATTGCACTCCAGCCTGGCAACAAGAGTGAGAGAACTCCGTCTCAAAAAAAAAAAGTTGGTAGTACTTTTTAGTTTGCATTACTTCAACACACTACTATGTATTTTTCTGCCTGAATCCCTGTTAGTAGAAATACCAGTTAAGCCACAACGCGTAGCTCAGCCCATTGGATCTCAGCAGGCTCCAGATTAAGCAACCTGTCTGGGAGCCTGAGTGTAATGTGCCCTTCCCTGTTCTCGGATGGGGTCTGTGTGTCTGTGCCGTGTCGATTCCAGCTGTGGATCGTGCGTGGTCTTGATCTCCTGACCTTGTGATCCGCCCGCCTCGGCCTCCCAAAGTGCTGGGATTACAGGCGTGAGCCACCGCGCCCGGCCAGATTTTCATTTTCTAGTTTTTATGTTCAAGTAGGCATCTTAAGTGTGTGGGAATGTCATTCTCTGCCTTTTTGTTAAATTCAAGACCAGGCGGGTGGGTACGTTCCTTACCTGTGCTCTTGGAGTCCCACAGGGCAAAGTTTTTCTTAGTTCCTGAAGGTAACAGAATGAGCAGGCAGTTGTCTCATCAGAGTTGAGCCAGGCATCTCCTGTTTTTGTTCGTTAGAGACAGGGTCTTGCTCTATTGCTCAGGTTGGATTGTAGTGGCACCTCTTAGCTCACTGCAGCTGTGAACTCCTGGGCACAAGCGATCCTCCCACCTCAGCCTCCTGAGTAACTGGGACTACAGTCATGTGCCACCATGCCTGGCTAATTTCATGTTTTTTGTAGAAATGGGGGTCACCGGTATGTTACCCAGCCTGGTCCCATACGCCTGGCCTCAAGCGATTCGCCAGTCTTGGCCTCCCAAAGTGTTGGATTTACAGGCATGAGCCACCGCGTCCAGCTGGCATCTACTTTTTAGGACAGTTCTTCCTTTTTCAAAAAGAAGCTTAACAATTATGAGAGAAATAAACCTCATTATATAAAATAAAAATATCACTCATGGTCCTCCCTTTCACTCAAAATAGCTCCCTTTCTTTGGTCCCTCTCCAAATGCGTGGGTGTTGTCGGTGCTCATCTCTGTTCCGGGCCTTCAGTAGCAGCATTTAAGATGTCTGTCCGTGTTCTGCACGAGGGCTTATATCCCGTTCTGAGCCCTGGCCATTTGGGTGGGTTCCAGTTTTTGCTGGTATAAATAATTCTGTGATTTGCATTTTTATGGGAATATAACTCTTTTCTTTGTTTTTTTTTTTTGTTTGGGTTTTCTTAGGATAAAATCCTGTTTGTGGGCTTTGTAGTAAGGACTAGCACAGCCTATTAAAAATTGACTCTGGATCATTGTCAACCATGTTTCACAATTTAGAATCTTCGGTTATTTAAATACTTCAATTTAATTCAAAGAATAAGCCAAAACCTTTTTGTATTTTCCCAACTTTTTATTTTGAAAAATTATCAATCCACAGAATAAGTGAAAATGAACACTGGTAGTCCCTTTATTAATTTAAATTTACCAGTTGTTAACGTTTGCCACACCTGCCTTGTCTTTGTCTTCTGCTTCTCTCCCTGCATCTCTCGGTACACACACGCAGACACACACACACACACAGACACACACACAGACACACACACGTGCACACGCTCGCGGAGTTTTTTTGCAAAATCATTTGAAAATAAGTTGCAGACATCTGACACTTTACTTTTAAATACCTCAACACATATCTCCCAGGAATGAAAACAGTCTACAACATAAACGAAACACATGATCACACCTAAGAAAAACAGTGGTTCCATAGTATCATCTAACATATGGTTCAAAATAAATTTCTCTGTTTCCAAAAGTCCTTGATAGCTTTTGTTTCCTCAGTCTACAATCCAGTTAGGTGTAGTGCGTTGCATTTGACTGTTCTGTAAATTCTGAGTATGTTAAAGCCTTTGGAGTGTGCGCCATGGGACTATTCCGAAAAGGTTCCCCTCAAACCACGAGGTTTAAACCGTTGTTTTTTCCTTCAAATGAAACATTTGGCACAGCCCTGCGTGTTGAAGAGACAGCTTTGGTGCTCCTCTGATGGGGTGGGGACTGGAGCCTGCACTTGTCCCCTCCCCTGAGCCACTCTGGCAGATCGCTGCCCTTGGCCACATTGTGTCTTCCTAAAGCCAGCAGGGTTCCCACAAACTTTTGGGCCACTGGCCTCTGAGTTTAGAGTTTGTTTCTTTATCTCCTTGGCCACAATAGCCAGCTGCAGTCTACATTGTGGACGCCTGAAAACTGGCAGTTCTCTGGCATTTGGCTCCTGGATTAGAAGCATTGCTCATGCCGCGGCATGTTGACGGCTGACTCTGTTTCCCGTTTCAGTGGCGGGACCACTGGATGCAGTGTGTGTACTTCCTGCCACAAGAGGAGCCTGTGGTGCAGGGCTCAGCGCTCTGCCTGGTAGCCCACCACGATGACTACTGTGTGTGGTACAGCCTGCAGAGGACCAGGTAAGCCGAGCGTCGTCGGGGTGGAGGATGAGCCTCTGAAACTTGTATGTAAATTCCCCATTTACAGACCCTCTGGAGGCGCCAGTGGGTTGATTTGTGTCTGGACAGAATAATATAAGAACAAAGATTTATGACCGATGCGTCAGTGTCCATTCGTGTGTACCCAGGAGAGGCTGTCATGGGTTGCTGGAATCTGTTTAGAGCAGATGCGTAGGAAAAATCTGGAATTAGCGGGTGCTATAACTTCTCATGCCAGCTGGAGACCAGTGTCCAGATTCATGCCCTCTAGAGACCTGTGGAGGCGCCCACAGCCCACGTCTGTTTGTTCATCTCCTGGTCTAGCCCTGAAAAGAATGAGAGAGTCCACCAGATGCGCCCCGTGTGCGACTGCCAGGCTCACCTGCTCTGGAACCGGCCTCGGTTTGGAGAGATCAATGATCAGGACAGAACTGATCGATACATCCAGGCTCTGAGCACCGTAAGTGTCCAGCCCCTTGGCTGGTTGTAGGGGATGAGGGAAAAACAAGTTTGTCCCATGAGCCCCAGCACTCTGCTTATGATTTGCTAAGTTTCTTTCCTGTGTCCTCTTGTCTCTGAATGGCTTCAGCGAGCGCCTTCTGGGGCGGGCACTGCAGCAGAAAGCTGGAGACCTGGGGCTACTCTCTGCTGTACTGGGAGAGCCTCTGGCTGGGCTCCTGCTGGATGCCTTCGCCTTGTCAGGCACAGTCGTTACTGTGGGTGGTCGCAGTGGATTCGGCCACCCCTCTCCTCTTTTCATGAGTTGCCACATTTCTCCAGTTTTCTAAATGTAGATCTGATCATGGGACTCTCCTGCCTGAAAACCTTTGCTCCTTGCTACCTGTAGCAGGGGACTCGGCCTGGGGATTATAGATGGGGCTTAGAGGGAGGGTCTCTTGAGGCCCTTGGGGGTGTGTACAGAAATAAGTGTGCACGTGTGCATTTTGGAGGATGGGGGAGGATCCAAGCCATCCTGAGTTTCTCTCAGAGGGATCTGTCACCCAGAAAGGCATCCCTGCCTTTGGGAAGTCAGTTGTGAACCCTCGAGCCTTGGAGGCCCTTAGCTGTCTGTGCTGTCACCAGACAGGGAAGAAGCCTGTTGTCATGGCCTGGGAGGTGGCCTGCACATGGGGCAGCCTTCAGCGGGGCCTCTAGGCTGGGTTGAGGAGTGTCTTTTCTGACAGTGGGGACAAGTGGGGAGACGTGAGCGAGGCGGGCGTGTTTGAGGCTGGGAGTGGTTACTGCATGAGGACACAGGGGTATGGTCTGAGGTCTGGGCAAGCGGGGTGAGAAGGGACGCATTTCTGACAGCTTACCAGCAGGAATCTTCTGGCAAACTGGAGGAAGCCCTGTGCTGAGGGTGCCCGTTCCCCGCAGGTGCTGAAGCCAGACAGCGTGTGCCTGTGTGTCAGCGATGGCAGCCTGCTCTCCGTGCTGGCCCATCACCTGGGGGTGGAGCAGGTACAGACGTGCACCCTTGTCAGCCTCCTGAGGTGGGCTCGTGAGTTAGGGCGTTGTGTGGTCCGGGTGCACAATTCTGTGATCAAGGCTCTTTGCAAGGGCCACTGTCGTGGGTGCAGCATGCTCGGGTTAGGGGCTGGGGTTTATTGCCTGTGCGTGCAGGCAGGCGTCAGGCTGCTGAGCTGGTGCTCAAGCTGCCCCAGGGAGGGAATGAGTGCAGGGAGGGTTATTCAGGTGTGTCCTCTGCCTTGGGATGGTCTTGTCACATTTTAATCTTTAATTTCTTCTCTGTTAAGTGAATATCTTACAACTAATAGCATGGTGTTCCCTTTAGGTATTCACAGTCGAGAGCTCAGCAGCTTCTCACAAACTGTTGAGAAAAGTAAGTGAGAATTGTTGTTACTGAAATAGGAGAGGACCTGTGGGGTCTGGGTTGATGGCTTTGAAGTGGCATTGGCCCGGGGGAGCGAAGGAGTGGCAGCTCACTTGCACCCCTGTGTTGTCTTGGCTGCTGCCTGGAGAGCAGCCAAAGGCCTTGGGGACTGTCACTGAGGTAGAGGCAGGCATTTGCACTCTGCTTTGTTGTTTTGTGTCTGAAGTTGAGGCTTTTCTCCTCACTTCACATAAAGCTACTGTTGCGGTAGAACCGAGTGTAGGGCGTGTTTCTGGGACATCCGTGCTGAGGGAGCCAGTGCTCACAGCCTGATGGGAGATGCCATTTCTCTCCCTGGCCAGTAACTGGTTTCATTTCCTCTCCAAAGGGGAACCCCCTTCACCAGAACTCCAGGCCCGCACTGAGTCCTGGTGTGCGCCTGCGGGAGAAATTTCTTCTGCTTTCATCACATTCTGCTCCTGATCTCGTCTGTGGTCTATAGGATGCCCCCCAAGGAGAGAATTTCCACAAAGCAGATAAAAGTGGTGCTCCAGAACTATTTGCCAGAAAATTCAAAGCGGAGAATGCAACTTGGAGAGATTTTTTTTCCTGACAAAAACAATAGTATGAATACAGTAATTTTATGATTTTCTTTCTAAGATCTTCAAGGCTAACCACTTGGAAGATAAAATTAACATCATAGAGAAACGGCCGGAATTATTAACAAGTGAGGACCTGAAGAGCAGAAAGGTGAGTAGCGGGAGCCTTCTGGCCGCGCTGGGCTGTGTTAGGGTAGGCGGCACGGCACTGAAGTAGCCCAGGCCCCACCCCATCCTTGGGGTCTCACAGTGGGTCCTCCATGTAACCTTACCTCCTAGGAGCTCCCACTGTCAAGGATGTAGTGAGGCTTTCATGGAGCTGCCTGGTGAGCAGATGGTTGCACTGCTCTTTTTTTTTTTTTTTTTGAAAACGGGTCTGGCACTATCGCCCAGGCTGGAGTGCAGTGGCACGATCTTGGCTCACTGCAGCCTTGACCTTCCAGCCTTAAGCGATCCTCCCACCTCTCCCGAGAATCTGGGACTATAGGCATATGCCATTATGCCCGGCTAATCTTTGTATTTTTCGTAGAGTCAGGGTTTCATCATGTGGCCCAGGCTGATCTTAAACTCCTGGGCTCATGCGATCTGCCAGCCTCAGCATCCCAAAGTGCTGGGATTACAGGCGTGAGCCACCACACCTGGCTGTACTGCTCTTAGCTCAGCCTCATCTCTGCTCCTTCCGGTCAGGACAGAGCCTCTCTCTTAGCTTTCCTAGGAGCAGAGCATGTCCTTTCCTCTCCACCGCACTCCTGTCTTCACTCCCCGTCCATGGCTTCCTGCTGCAGTCAGGCTTCCAGGCCCTGAAACTGCTTCTGCCAGCAACCTCGTCGTTACTCCCATGGTCTCCCTGCAGGCTTCATCTACTCTACCCGCTTGTCCTTCATCTAGTCTACCCGCTTGTCCTTGTGACCTGGGACTTCTTCCTGTGCTGGGGAAGTCTCTTTCCGCTCACCTTCCTGGCTGTCCTTCCCTCGTGCTGCTCCGTGGCAGTCTCCCCGTGTCCCCCATTTCTCCCTACTGCATCCTTTCTGGTAATCCTGTTCCTTCTCATGTGTGAGTCAGTGACCATAAGAGCCGGCCTTCACTCGTTGCAATTGTGGATTCAAATCTCATGTCCAGCTGCTATCCTGTCACCTTTCCTTGGATATCCCACAAACCAGACTTATCCAAAGCAGAGCTGTCATCTTTCATCTTTCCTGCCAGTCTTTTTTTTAAATAACAGCTTTAGGCCGGGCGTGGTGGCTCAAGCCTGTAATCCCAGCACTTTGGGAGGCCGAGACGGGTGGATCACAAGGTCAGGAGATCGAGACCATCCTGGCTAACCCGGTGAAACCCCGTCTCTACTAAAAAAAAAAAAAAAAAAAAAAAACTAGCCGGGCGAGGTGGTGGGCGCCTGTAATCCCAGCTACTCAGGAGGCTGAGGCAGGAGAATGGCGTAAACCCAGGAGGCAGAGCTTGCAGTGAGCTGAGATCCAGCCACTGCACTCCAGCCTGGGCGACAGAGTGAGACTCCGTCTCAAAAAAAACAAACAAACAAACAAAAAAAACACTTTATTGAGATGTAGTTGACAAACCACAAAATTAATGCATTTCAAGTATACAGTTCAGTGATTTTTTAAGTAAATATATGGAGTTAAACAACCATCACCCAGTCTCATTTAGAACATTTCCAGGCCAGGCATGGTGGCACATGCCTGTAATCCCAGAACTTTGGGAGGCCAAGGTGGGAGGATCGCTTGGACCCAGGAGTTCAAGACCAATCTGGAGAACATAGGGAGATCCTGTCTCTATTAAAAAAAAAAAAAAAGAAGAAGAAAGAAAAATTAACCCAGAGTGGTGGCATGTGCCTGTAGTCCCAGGAAGGTGAGGTGGGAGGATCGCCTGAGCCCGGGAGTTGGAGGCCGCAGTGAGTCATTCTTAAGGCAGAGCACTACAGCGTGGCTGACAGAGTGATACCTTGTCTCTAAAAAAAAATTGGAATGAAAAGAGAACATTTCTGTTACCTCCCAAATTCCCGGGAGCCTGTTGATAGTCAGCATGCTCATGCCCCAGGCCTGGCAGCCACTGGTCTGGTTTCTGTCTCCATTGTGTGCCTCTTCTGGCTTTTCTGAAAAGTGAGGTACACTGTGTGTGGTCTTGCGAGTCTGGCTCCTTTCACTGAGCATCATGTCTTTGAGGTTCACCCATTTCATTCTTTTTAAGGCTGCATGGCATTCCGCGGTGTGGCTGTCCATTCACCTGCTTATTGACAGTTGGATTATGTCCAGTTTCTGGCCACTTTGAATAAGGCTTCTGTGAACATGGGTTCACCAGTCTTAGTGAGGATATGGGTCCTCAGTTCTCTTACGCAGATGCCTTGGTGTGGATTGCTGGGTCGTGTGGTAGTTACGGTCAGCTTTTTAAGAAGCTGCTGAACTGTTGTTCGAAGTGGCTGTCCATTTGACATCCCCATCGATAACGTCTGAGGGTCCAGGTTCTCGGATCCTCACCAGCACTTGGCATTGGCTTGTTTTAGCATAACCATTTTAGTGGGAGTGTGGTGATGTCTCCGCATAGTTTTAATTTGTATTTGCCTAATGACTGATGATGGTGAGCATCATTTCATGTGCTTATGTCTTGCTTGGTGAAATGTCTATTCAAGCCTTTTGCCCATTTTAAAAATAACAGTTTTATTGAGATATAATTCACATACCTTATGATTCACTCAGTGATTTTTGTGTATTCATAAGGTTGTGTAACCATCGCCACATCAGTTTAAGAACCCTTTCGTTACCCATTGGCAGTCACACACCATTTGTCTGCAGTCCCCAGCCCAGGGCACCCACTCTCCTTTCTGTCTTTAGCTTGCCCATTCTGGGCATCTCGTGTGAATGGAATCAGATAGTGTGTGGTCTTTCATGGCTGGCCTCTCATATGGCTTCATGTTTTCAGGGCTCATCCATGTCGTAGCCTGAATCAATACCTTATTTCTCTTTCTTGCTCAGTAAGATTCCATTGTGTGGATAGACCGTGTTATTTATCTGTTCATCAGCTGATGGACATTTGGGTGGCTCCTACTTTGAGGCTGTTGTGAGTAATGCTGCTATAAATATTCATCCACAAGTCACCCTTTTTCTCCGTCATAGATGAGGGCATAGGAGATGATTCTGAAAGCCATTGTGTGGTGTACCGGTAGACCGGGTCATGTTGAATTGGAGTGGTGGGAGTGGGCATTCTTGCCTTGTTCCTGATGCTGTCGGGGGGAGGCCAGGAAGCACTCAGGGCAGCCCTTTCTGTCTCCCAGCATTTCCCGCTGCATCTCCCTCATCTCTGACTGGCCCCGCTTTGGTGCCTGTTTGCTTGGGCCTGCCCGGGGTCGGCTGCCTCACCCTCTGCCACCCCTTCCTCTCCTCCCACCCCTCCCACCCTGCAGTCTCCATTTCTTGCCTGGACTGTTTCTGCACTCTCCCAGGTCGCCTCCGTCCCGAGCACCTGCAGATTCCCTTCCACACTTCATGGTCCTCAGCAGGATCTTCTAAATCACATTCCTTCTGATTTTGAACCCCTCTTGAAAGCTTTTAGTGACACCCACCACCCCCGCCGCTGCCGCCTCCGGGATGAGTCCAGCCCCTTATCCTGTCCTGGCTCCTGTCCAGCTCCACACCCTCACCTTGGGGGACCTTGCTGTCTCCTGGCCTCACTCTTGCCTCTGCTGCTCCTCCCTTGGCCGTTCAGGCTCCTTGCCATGCATTTGTTCATTTACTCACAAATGTTCACGGAACATCTGGTCACGGCACTGGCCCACTGCTGGGGATGCTGGGCTGCCAGTCCCTGCTCTTGTGGTGCTCAGAGCCTGGGGAGGGAGATGGAGTAAGTCCTGAGATAAAGTGTCCAGTGAGGGTTGGCAGGATGCCACTCTGGAAGCCCCCTCTGGCACATTTATTTCTGGGGTCCCGCCATGACCCCCTTCCTTGCTTTTTTCTGTCACATGGAGTCAGCTGCACTTTGTCTGCTTCCCTCTTCCACTCTGCTCTCCTGAGCAGGGGACTCATATCTGGTTGTATTCTTTAAAGCCTCCAGGGCAGGTACAGAGTGCCTTGCTGCCTTGCTTTTTGACTGAGGGAGAGAGGGACTGAGGAGGGAGGGAGGGAATGAGTGACTGAATGAGTGACTGACTGAGGGAGGGAGGGAGCGAGGGAGTAACTTGAGTGACTGAGTGGCCTATTGCTCCCTGTTCCTGTGAACGCTCCTGACACCTCCTGACACCTGGGCCCTGCTTCTCGCCCTGCTCACCAGGTCTCTCTCCTCCTGGGCGAGCCGTTCTTCACTACCAGCCTGCTGCCGTGGCACAACCTCTACTTCTGGTACGTGCGGACCGCTGTGGACCAGCACCTGGGGCCAGGCGCCATGGTGATGCCCCAGGCAGCCTCGCTGCACGCTGTGGTTGTGGAGTTCAGGGTAGGCCACCCAGGGGGTGTTGCAGTAAAAAGCAGAGGAGGCGAGTAGGGAACCTTGTTTTCTTGCAGGAACCTTGGGCGCCTGTAGAGCGACTTGGGCCTTGATGATTGGAGCTTGTGTTTTGTTTCTGTGTCAGCACACTGTGGGGTTGAATAGAAGATGCTTGCCTTTTTAAAAATGCGATAATTTGACATACGAAATGGAAATGGCTGAGTGTTGTCATTTTACAATTGTGGCTTATCAGAATAATTAAAAAATATAAATTAAGCGTTTCAGAAGCCATGCCGTGTGGCCTGCTCTGCTCTCGTTAAGAGCCGAGGCTTTAGTTGTTAAAAGCATTTTGAGATGGGAGACTCAGCTGCTTTATGCAAGAAAAAATGGAAAAGCTTCCTTTTAATTTTCTCATCAGAGTAGAACCACAGTCACGAAGTCATTTTGGGAAGGGCAGTTTTATTGAAAGGATTTCGAAAAGCTTTACCCTGGATGGAGAGCGTATCTCATTTGATGAGAGTGGTTTTCTCTCTTAGCTGAGTGGCTCCATCACACATTCTGGGCGTTTCTCCTGTGTTACTTGTTTACCTAATCAGATTTCCACATGAATACTGGTTTTCGTGGCCAATGAGGGGATGTCATGATCCATGCGTGTGACCAGGAGGAAGGGAGGGAAGGCCGTGTGGCCTGAGTGTCCTCTGGATTCCTCTGGGCAGGGCCTTTTTCTTTCCCCGGCATCCTCGTGAACTGGAGGTGATGCTGGGGAGAGAATTGGCTTACAGATTTCTTCCTGAAGAAATGGTGTTGAGGATGGCCCGGATAGGAGTGTGCAGCCCCCAGCCTGGTAGCTTTGGCTGACTGTCCCTTATAGGAGAGGACTGAGGTGTCATGTCAGAGCTTGCAGGTTCCCGCCCAACCCAGTCTGTTACAGAAACCGCTGTGGATCTTTGTTCTCTCTGAGCCCCTTCATGCTTGGGGGTCTCTTTCAGGTGTGCAGGGAACAGCAAGATGTGCCTCTTGTTCTTGCTGCCACACTTCCCTGTGCCCTGGCGGGCGGGTGTGAACGGGGCTGCTCCTTCCTCACAGGACCTGTGGCGGATCCGGAGCCCCTGTGGTGACTGCGAAGGCTTCGACGTGCACATCATGGACGACATGATTAAGGTAGGCAGGGTCACACTGCGCAGTCCCGCCCACCTGCTCCTGTGGCACAGGCCTCTGACAGGGTCCTGGGTTGGGCAGCACAGGCTCTTCTGTTGGGGGCAGTGAGGTCAGGGGCTGCCATTTTGTGTGGTTCACCATGAGCATTGCTTGGTACCAGCCCTGTTCTTGGCTCCGTGCTGTCACCCTGAGTCAGAATCTCCACTGGGCCCACATGTCCCGTCATTGTAATTGCCCCCGCCAGTGCCCGCAGCTTGTTTCCTATTGGGGCAGCCTTTCCAAAAACAGTCTGGGAACCTTCTTAGTCATTTCCACGGTGGGGGCTCCATTCCCGGGGAGGGGTACCTGAGGAGTGTCCCACAGGTTATTTACATGGTGTAGGGGTTGGCAGCGCCCTGAACAGTAGTAACTGGGCCCACGTTCCCCAGAACCATGGGCCGTCCTGACAGTGCCAGTGGTTCTTGGATTCAGGGGGACTGAAGCTGAGAGTCCTGTTCCATCCGTGTGAGAGGGGCAGGGTGAGGAGCATGGCCCGTGCTGTATATTAAGGAAATGCACGTGGCTCCTGCTTGTCATCCCAGCACTCTGGGAAGCTGAGGCAGGTGGATTGCTTGAGCCCAGAAGTTCAAGACCAGCCTGGGCAATATAGCAAGACCCTGTGTCTACAAAAAAGCCAGGCATGGTAGTGCACACCTGTATTCCCAGCTACTCAGGAGGCTAAGGTGGGAGGATGGCTTTAGCCTGGGAGGTCGAGGCTGCAGTGAGCTGCGTTTGCGCCACTGCCTCCAGGCTGGGTGAGAGAGGAAGACCCTGTCTCAAGAAAAAGAAATCTCATGGACACCGGAGGGGCGGGAAGCAGTGGCGGCCCCGCAGCAGCGGCTGTGCAGCGGGAGGTGGGGCTATCTGCTTCTGCTCACCTTTCTGTTCACATTTTCCCACAGTGAACATGGATTGCCTGTGTGTGAACACTTTTAAGTAAATTAAACCTAGTGGATATTTTCAGTTTGCATCTTGCCTGCCCCTCACAGCAGATCACTGACTGTTCCGTGCTTCTAGAAATCTTCGTGCTGAGCCCTACATGCTCTGGATCCATGTGCTCCCTTGGGCCCCTGCTCTCGGCCTGCCCACCCTGGCTGTCCCTGTCCCCTCTTGCTGATACGGTTCTGCCACTCTGGTCCTGGGCCAGTGTCTGTCTCTTGTGTGCTCAGGGAGATGGCCGAGAGTGGTGGGTATCCCACAGTGGGGCGCCAGGCATTTTTTTACGCTTTCCAAATCCACCTGCCCTTCCCCACCCTCAGCCTGGCCCTTCCAGTGCCCTTAGACCTGGCACCACTTCGCACGACCAGCCAGGCCCAGGGCCCTGGGCATCCTCCCTCGAGAGTCCTCCCGTCCCCTGCCATTGGTCTTCGTGCTCCCAGTGAGCCTCCAACCCAGGCTGTCCCCCGACTGCTGCTGTCCTGGTTTGGGCCCCTCCTGCTCTGGCCGTCCTTCACAAGGAGCCCACATGAACTTGTAGATCTGAGTCTGGCCACATCCCCACTGCAGGAATGCCCTGGATAGCTCCCGCACGCCACCCCTGCAGAGTGGCCCAGCTGGCCTGGATGCCCTGGCCTGCTCTCCTGGCTTAGCTCTATCCTCAAGGCCCCCTCTGGCCCTTCTGCCGGCTCCCACTTGACTGTCAGCTCCCCTCCTCCAGGCAGCTTTCTGCCTCCGTCCTGGATGCAGGTGCCCCCAACCTGCCGCCAGGCACCGGGGCTGTACTGTCACGCATTTATCCCTCCCCCTGGCCTGGGGCCCACCTGTCAGGGCCACACAGCTTTCGTGGTCACCAGGTTTCTAGATGCTGGGTGTTCTCACCAGTGACGTAGACATGTGGTCCTCAGAACAGCTTGAGACAGGCGACACCACCCCATCTTAAAAATCCGGAGAGCGAGGGCTCAGAGCCAGCGGTGCCTGGGGAGCCGCTGGTCTGCTGGGCGCTCGGCATCTTTATGGGAGAACACACACCCCTTGTGACTGCAGTCAGTGAGAGCCAAGCCGGGGAGGGGTCCCTCTGGCTGCCGGCCTGTCTCTGCAGCCCCCAGGCCCCTTTCTGTTCACAGGGTGCCCTGGACTTCAGGGAGAGCAGGGAGGCTGAGCCCCACCCGCTGTGGGAGTACCCGTGCCGCAGCCTCTCCGAGCCCCGGCCGATCCTGGCCTTTGACTTCCGGCAGCTGGTGCCCCCACGGCCCCTGTGTGCCGAGGGCACCATGGAGCTCAGGAGGTGGGTGTAGGGAGGGCCCCGGGGGGCAGGGAGGGGCTGCTGCTTGCCCTTGGAGTTCTCACCCCCATGGTGAGCACAGCTGGCCTGGGAGATGCTGACACGTGGATAGGGTATTCGTCCTTCCCGTGACCTTGCCCTTCCCTGTCAGAGCGGCCCTGCGTGTGTGGTGGTTCCCACGGTCCCGTGTGCGCCAGTCGGCAGGGGGAGCCAGGGAGGGCGCTGCTCACTCACCACAGCTGAGGCTCCCTTGTTGGGTCACACCTTAGGAAGATGGGAGCTTAATTCCTGTGGTCACCGATGCACCATTTTCCTGAACCCTCCTGGGAGCTGAAGCAGGTCAGGGTCAGGGAGTGCTGCTGGCGTCCAGGCACGGGCAGCCCTGTCCCACTCCGGCTCTCACCCCACCTCGCCCGAGGAGTGACTTCTTCCCCGGAAGCGCCTCCCAACTCGGGACAGGCAGCCAGGCAGGGTCGGCGCCGCCACCTGAGCTCCCAGGGTTGCTGTCTGGGCTATCAGAGGGGCTTTCCAGCCTTCAGTGCCAGGCTGTGCCTCAAGCCCCCTGGACCCTGCAACTACACTGGCCCTGCCCCACGTGTGGCCTGGCTGCAGGGTTCGGGTTGGCTCAGGTCGGGGCTCGGCTGTGGCTGTTCTGGCTGGGGTTTTTCTGAGGAACATTCAGTTGGATGTGGCACTAGGAGCTCCCGGAGGGGCAGGAAGGAAATGGGGAAGACCACAGGTTTCTGGAAAGCAGCAGGAGCTGCAGCCGTGCCCCCCTGCCTCTTGTGTGACTGCTTCAGCTGGGTCCCCCCTCTCCTTGGCAGGCCTGGGAGGAGCCACGCAGCAGTGCTGTGGATGGAGTACCACCTGACACCGGAGTGCACGCTCAGCACTGGCCTCCTGGAGCCTGCAGACCCCGAGGTAGTGCCTGCGCGCCGAGCCCCAGTGTGCGTGCAGACCCTGAGAGCAGGCGCCGCCTGGGGAGGCCTCCCTGCCCCTGCCCCTGCCCCTGTGCTCCGGGTGTGTCTCACAAGTTCTTCGGACCAGATGATGACCCCCTGGGACATCTGGCCCCTGCACAGCTTCTCTCTGCTGCGAGCTGCTTGGGCTGGAGGCTGGCCAGGAAGGAGGCTCCGGTGCCAGGGAGCTCTCACTGTCTTCCTGCTCTTCATCCTACAGGGAGGCTGCTGTTGGAACCCCCACTGCAAGCAGGCTGTCTACTTCTTCAGCCCTGTCCTGGATCCCAGAGCACCGCTGGGCGGCCCGCAGATGGTCAGCTATGTGGTGGAGTTTCACCCCGGCACAGGCGACATCACCATGGAGTTCAGGCTTGCAGACACCCCAGACTCACCACTCCTGAGCAATAAAGTGGCCTGAGGGCTGTGGGTTCTGAGTGGCTCATGGCTTTCTAGTGGGGAAGGCTGAAGGCTGAAGGCTCTCCTCTCCGGGAGCTGCTCGGCCTCGGGGATGGGAAAGACTGCGCCATGTTGTATCTTTGCACTGCTGGCCTCTGGCTCCAGCTGTGGCAGGGAGCATGAGAGGGTGACTGAATTTGGAGCCCTGGAGGGGCGGGGGAGACCCCCCTGCTTGTGCTTCTGAGGTGCTGAGAAAGCTCCAGTGTGGAGACATCTCTCCCCAGCTGGGGAGGAAGTCGAACCACAGGGGGCTTGTGGGGCTGGTGGGTGCGGTTGTCCACGCCACCCTTGGCGAGCAGTCCCCATGGCAGGAGCCTGTCCTGCCCGTCCCACTCGGGGATCTCCGGGTCCCTGCTCTTCTGGCTTCTGCTAGGAGGGTGGAGACACTGAATGTGGCTGGGTCTCTGGGGCTTGAAGACCCTGGCTGGGCCTGGGTTCTGGCCCTCATCTGCCAGGTAACTTCAAGCCACATCCATAGGTGTCTGATCTCTGTGCTGCACCAGCTGGTAGCCTGCCAGGACCTGAGACTGGACACAAGGCAGCTGTTCCAGAGCAGTTACTGAGATGCAGACCCAGGAAAGTGGCTATCAGAGGAGCCGCGAGGCAGCCCTGTTCCCTGTACCGCCCTCGGATTGGAAAGTCCCTCCTGCAGGTGGGGTACAGTGGGGAGCAGCCCCTGCCCAGCCCCACTTCACCTGAGAGGCCAGAGGCGCCGTGGCCTTGCTTCTCTCACACACTAACCCCCCTTGGTTATGTCCCAGCTCTCAGGTAACAGCAGACACCAAGTGAGAGAACCCAGTGGCCTCTGGCTCACAGCTCAGGAGGTGAGGCTTGTGCCAGGCCAGCCGAGCCGCCTGTATGAGCAGAGTTCCGGTGTCCTCGGATTTAGGCAGACTTGGGCAGCTCCTGTCCTGCAGTTGGAGGCAGGAATTCCATCCCCTGCCCCCAGGCATGCCCCTGAGGCCTGGCCCCAGCTTGTCGCTGAAATAAGTGGAGAACACCAGCCTTGAGCCTCACAGTTTTATTTTCTTCTCGTTATCCATCCTTCCTTTCAGCACCAATAAGGAAAAAGAACACCTCTCTTTTCAAAATGTCTTATCAGGTGTAAAGATTTGTTTTTCTTCTAGGGAAGAACCGTCTGGATATATATTTGATAATGATGTTACCAAAACCGTAGGTGTGCTTACCATAGAAAACCCCTAATGTCCCGTGAAGATACAATACAGAAAAAATACAGAAATTAAAAAAGTTTTTTTATAACAGTATTTCTAAATCTCAGCAAGTTAAAAAGCAATAGTTAAAAAGCATCAAGATTGATATACTTAAAACTTAAGGTGGTTATGGACGAATGAAAATGAACATTTCCTTCCTCAGCGGCCCCCGTGCCTCGTGGCTTCCTTTGAGAGTGGGCCTGGGGCAGGCACAGAGCCTTGGTGTGGGCCTCGGGTGACCCGTGTGCCCACCCCTGCTAGGTCTTAGATGCCACAGAATCTGAGATTCAGCAATGTTTCACTTAAAAATCAGTGGAAGGGCCTGGCCTGTACACAAGGCCCGGGAATCCACAGGCAGCCACTATGGGACACGTGGGTAGGGGATCCCGGCCTTGGCGCTGAGGGAGGTGTGCAGGGGCCTGGGGGCCGCACGTCCTTACTCTGGACGCCAGGACCTGACTAGGCAGAGGCAACCTTGTGATGACAGAAAATGACTTGCCTAAGGCTGCCTGTGAGGTGGGAGGGGAGGAGCGTGCGGCCCTGACTCCCACACCTGCTGCCCTGGGAAGGGGGTGCCTGGGTGGGGAAGCTATGCTGGGGTCTGGTGTGGGGGCCCTGCTTGGGCCTCAGCTGCTGTGTGTGTGCAGGCAGCCAGCACGGGCTTGGGGTCTAAGGGTCCAGGGCCAGCCCAGTCGCTTGTGTGAGCAGAGTCCCAGCTCCTTCAGGGAGTGGGGGGGCCTCCACAGCATGAAGCCCAGTCAAGGCTCACAGGCCAGACCCTTGGAGGGGCGGGCCGAGCAGAGCGCCCAGCAGGATGCCCTCCCTCAGCAGCCCCTTCCTGGCTCTGGACTCTAGGTGGCAGGGCTTGGATCCGGGCACAGACGGTGCTTCCCAGGCCAGGTGAGTTCAGACAGGCCAGTGTCACAAGGACGCACGTCCTAGCGCCAGGCTCCCCGGGCTCCGCAGCGTTGTCTGCCCTAGCAGAGGGCTGGGCGTCTGGCTGGCTGTGTGGCCTCCTCTTGGTCCCTCTTGCAGCTCAATGGGTGACAAGGCACAGCATCAGGGCACCAGCACCAGGAGGGGCTGACAATAGACAGCAGGTCCTGGTGCTCCCTCCAGCCTCGCCAGGCAAAGCCAGCCCTGGGCCAGGCTAGGTACAGGGCCAGGGCACCACGAGGAGCGGAGGTCAGCGGGGATTGTCAAAAAGTCCCTCAAGTTGAGTCTCAAACTATGAAACGGACAAAACCTTCGCGGCATGACAGGAGCAGCCCTGGAGTCTGTTAAAGGCAGGTGGGCAGAGGCAGTGCTGCCGAAGGGGCCTGGGGGCTGGAGGCAGATCGGGGACCACAGGCTGTTGGCCAGCTCTGCCATGCTGAACCTGGGTGCCAGTACCACACCCTGCCCTGGGCATGCGGCAACTGTCAGCCTTGCTGCCCCAGCCCGTGCACTGGTGAGGGCCAGGCTGCTGTCTGTACCTTGGCTTCCTGCCTCCTAGGCCGGGGTCCCCTTGTGGCCTTGGTGTTGACTGGGGTAGCTGTTGAGGATGGGCCTGGGAGACCAGAACCGCAGACCCAGGGGGCAGGCAGGGGTTCCTGAGCTCAGCCGGCACGCAGGTGGGGCACGTCCCCAGGGAGGGATTGGTCCCGAACCAGAGAGGTGTCCGTAGGGGAGAGGATTGGCAGAAAGAAGAGGATGTGTTGGTTTTGATAGAAGAGAAGCTACAAATAGGTTATTTTCAAAATCAGGATCCCCCCCACCCCCCTTTATGCTGTGAGTCCCTTCTTCCTGTTAAAAAAAAAAAAAAAGTGGATGCTGTCTTCTCCGATTCCCCGTTTATGGCCCCACTGCCCAGATGGGAGGCTCCCAGAGGAAGCCTGGGGCGCCAGAGCCTGCCGGACCCTGTTGTGCCTGGGCTGGCGAAGGGACCCTGTCTCGGGAAGAGCAAAGTTCTGTGACTTACAGACCCTGTGAAGTGAGGGTTGGTTTTGTGATTAACCTTTTTCTATTTTTCTTTTTAAAATGTAATCGCCCTTGAATGGGAGACCCTGGGAAGAGCCCTGGCTGGCTGGTAGAGACGCAGCCCTGGGACCCTGCGGGAGCCAGCCCACACTGGAGGCGGGAGAGCTGGCGGCCGTGCCCAGGAAGTGCTTCTTTGGCTGGTTCTGATTGTGTTTGGAGTTTGGCCTTGGGTGAGGCCCGAGCAAGGGGTTTGTGGCTACAGCGTGGCACGTGGCATGCGGGCAGCGTGCATGCGAGGGTGCAGGCATGCGAGACGACATTGGCAGCAGACAAAAATAAAGAACCCTGGACGAAGCTTAAGAAGAGATACAGAGAGTACATGAACCCGGTCCTCATACTAACCCACGGGTTACAAACTCGGTTGTGCTGTAGATTTGTAGAAAATCACGTTGTGAAAGAATGGCACTGGTTAGGCAGCCGGAGGCTCCCGGGGCGGGCCTGACTCCTCTGTCTGTCTGCAGTGAGGCCCAGAGGTGCAGAGCAGAGCAGCGCAGCTTCCAGGTTCCCGGGCACTGACTGTGGCTCCCTCCCTGTCCCTGTCCTCCTCCCCCAAGCACCAGGAGCTCGATGGAGGGGACACGGCCCAGGGATGGGCTGCGGCTCCAAGGGCTGGCAGAGGCCCCGCTGCTCCAGACGGTCTATGCCTCCTCCTCCCCTGAAGACACAGTCAGTCGCATGGCTACTGGCAGGTGGTCCGTCAGGCCGGACAGCTGGGTGATAAAACTGAATTCTTCCACCTCCTGGGGCGAGTGGGAGAGGGGAGAAACAGTCTTGGTCAGATTCCAAGGGCATCCTGCAGGGAGCGGGCTGGGGATCCCCGAAGTGAGGCCCCTGGCTCGGGTGGGCTGGGACCTGGAGGACCTGGGGTCCTAAGGGTTTGAGGGAGTGACGGGGTGTGGGGTCTCAGGGAGTCAGCTGTCGAGAGCTGCAGGGCCCAGGCCCCACTCTGTCTTTGCATGGGCCCGCCCGACTCACGGCCTTCCAGTCCGGGCACAGCCCCTCCTCTGCGTGCAGCATGTAGTCGATGCGCCGGCCGTTGCCCTTCAGCAGCTCCTTCCGCCCCTTCTGGCCCGAGCTCTTGCTGGTGGGAAACGCCAGGTACTCCCTGCGGCCCTCCTCGCTCTCCAGGACCCTGTCCACACATGCAGGAGGCAGGTGAGCCCCCATGCCCGCCCCTGGGCCTGGCAGGGGCTGTTTGTGGAGCCATGGTCTCCCCCCAGTGTGGGAGCAGGTGGTGGCACCAAAGCTCTGGGTTTAAGATCTGTCTCTCCTGCAGGCCCAAAAAGGGCCTCAGCTGGGGGCAGGCCCAGTCGCCTGCGGGTTCCTGGCTGAATCGGGGCTCCGGAGCCTGTCGAGGTGTCCCGTCCACGCCAGCCTGGCCAGCACTCCCTTTCCCTTTCTGAACTCAGACAAAACTGATCCCACCCGTTCCCCAGAATGGGCTTCTGCCCTGAGCCAATAGGGGGGCTGTTTTGGGGAGCTTGATCTTTGCCGTGAATCTCGGGGACCCCTGTTACTGTTGTTCCCAGGTTGACTGGGCTGAGGGAACCAGGAGAGCACCTCCGAGGAGTCTCATGTGGGGCTGTCCCTACGTGGCTGTGTGACTCTGCTTATGTCACCGAGCCTCCAAGCCTCCGTTTCCTCCTCTGAAACGAGAGTGGTTGCTGTGGGCCCCAAGACACTTCAGGGAACAGGCTGTCATCCCGCTTCTGAGTGAGGAAACCCATGATGGTGCTAGGGGATCCACA